CGGCATTCGTGGCCGGCCCGCAGTGTCCACGCCGCTGGGCCAGGGCCGCGTGAACCAGCTGGGCGGCGTGTTCATCAACGGGCGCCCGCTGCCCAACCACATCCGCCACAAGATCGTGGAGATGGCGCATCACGGCATCCGGCCCTGCGTGATCTCCCGCCAGCTGCGCGTCTCCCACGGCTGCGTGTCCAAGATCCTCTGCCGCTACCAGGAGACGGGCTCCATCCGGCCCGGCGGCAGCGGCGGCTCCAAGCCCAGGGTGAGTCCCGCGCCCGCATCCCTCCCCTCTCCCAACGAGATATCACATTTTCCCTTATTATTTTTTTTTTCTTGGCGGGTCGGGGGTGCAGCAGCGAGTTGCGGGCGGCGAGTTGCAGGTTGCAAATAAATCGGTGGTTTTTTTCTTTTCTCTCCTCTGCAACAAGTGGCCCCTGCTGCAGCTCCGCGGATGTGGCGGCCTCAGAGAGCAATAAATAGGGGGATAATGCCCCCCATTTATTATAGCCCCCCACAAGGCATCCCTTGTCCCCTCCGTCTCCCTAGGGATGGGGATGAACCCAAGTCAGCTGCTCTCCCCCCTTCCCTCCTCTTCGCGTGGTACTGGGGGAAACGGGAGTGCTTTTGGTTTCCTACTCCTTGCAAATGCCTTTTTCTTCAGACTCCAAACTAAGAATTGGGCAGCGAGAACTAAACTAGTTCTAAAGTGAACGAGGTGTCGGCTTGTAAATTAAAAGTGTTATTTTTTCCCTCTCTCTGTCCCCTCTCCCCGCACCCAACCTTGATCCCAAAAGCAGGTCGCCACTCCCGACGTGGAGAAGAAAATCGAGGAATATAAACGGGAGAACCCCGGGATGTTCAGCTGGGAGATCCGCGACCGGCTGCTAAAGGACGGGCACTGCGACCGCAGCACGGTGCCCTCAGGTGAGAAGGCTGCTTGGCCACAGGGAAGGCGGAAAATGCAAAAAGAAAAAAAAAAGGGAAAAAAAAAAGAGAGAGAGAGTGCAAATCTCTCTATATGTATTGCATATATATACCTATAGCAGCCAAAGGGATCCTGCAACAGCAAGTTACCCCCAGCAGCTGGAGAGTTTTCCCCGCTGGCAAACGCGGTTTTCCCAATCTATCACAAGAGGAGGGATGTCCTGGGATGCTCAGTGCTCCCCCGGGACGTTTTGTGCATAGGAGGATGCACAGAGGGGACCCCCTGCCCCGGCATAGGGAAAGCGGCTTCGCACCCCCAGAATGGGCATGTAGGGTCGCATGGCAGAGGCTGTTTTGGGGGAGCGGGTGCGTGGTGGGGGGGTCCCAAGGACTGCGCACATGGCCCGTGGGGGAGCGGGAGCAGCTCGGGGCCACGGAGGGTCCCGCTTTGGGGTGTCCCAGCCTGGGGGGGGGTCCCGCGAGGCGCCCCCGCCGCTGTGCAGGCAGCTTATACCCGCCTTCCTGCCTTTGACTGTCTGAGGTTTAGTGAGTTCGATTAGCCGTGTGCTACGCATCAAATTCGGGAAGAAAGAGGAAGAGGAGGATTGCGACAAGAAGGAGGAGGACGGCGAGAAGAAGGCCAAGCACAGCATCGACGGCATCCTGGGCGACAAAGGTAACGGGCCGGGGCGCGGGGCGAGGCGCGAGGGCGGCGCGGGCTGCGCGGCGGATCCGTCGCGTTAACGCGGAGGGAGGGTAGCGGGGGGGGCGCGGGGCG